TGATGCATAGATGGATGGATGGGTGAAGGATGGATGGATGGATGGATGGATGGATGGATAAGTAGATTGTGGATGGATGGATAAGTAGATGGTGGATGGATGGATAAGTAGATGGATGGATGGATGAGCAACTAGGTGAATGGAAGGGTAATTATGAATGGATAAATGGATGGATGGATGGATGGATGGGTGAATGATGGATGGATGGATGGATGGATGGATGGATGAATGATGGATGGATGGATAAGTAGATGGTGGATGGATGGTTAAGTAGATGGATGGATGAGCAGCTAGGTGAATAAAAGGGTGAATTATGGATGGATGAATGGATGGGTGAATGATGGATGGATGGATGCATAAGTTGATGGATAACCAGATGAATGGAGGAGGTAAATGCTGCGTAGATAGGTGGATCCCTAGTTGGATATTGGAGTAGAGGCTAGATAGATGACAAATAAACTGACAACTGGCTTTTCTGCCTGTGAGCTGGGTGGATCTCAAGATCCAGCTAGCCAGTGCGGGAGTGGGAGAGGAAAGAGGTACACAGAAGGCAAACTACAAGGTCTCTGGCCACAGCAGAGCCCTCAGCAGGGTGCCCACACACTGCTAGCCCGCACAGCCTTGACGGAAGAGCAGGGGGCACAGACACAGCTTGTTCCTGGAAGCCCTGCCTTGGGACCAGCGGAGGTGCCCCCGCGGGGTCTCAGCTGGGATGGCAGGTGCTGTTCCTGCCAGGGGCCTCCGGGGACACAGCTGCAGAAAAAACAGTTGGCCTGCAGCATCCTCAACTCTGTCAAACGTGTGTCTTCTGGTGTCTCATTCCCTGCCTCCAAAAAAGTACAGCACACACACACAAAAAAGACCAAAAACAAACAAGGCAACTGTGGGGGGGCCTGGGGGTTTGGCTCAGGGGAACTGGAAGCCCTGGGTTCAGTCCCCAGCACCAAAAGAAAAAAAAAAAACAAAAAACACACCTCCCCTAAAAAACAATTCAAAAAAAAAAAAAAAAAACCAAAACAGTAAAATCATTCCCCGCCGCTTCCTCCCTTCCCCACTTCATCCTCCCTTCTCTTGTCCTCCCTCCTCACCCGTGTATTTTA